TGACAATGTGAATGCCTGATACCAAATACCTGTGCATTCCAAAAGAGCTATGATGGCAAACTTTGAGTGTGTGCGCGAGGGAGTTGTGCCTGTATGTAGGTGTGTTGGTGTATATGTGTGCTTGTGTGTGCAGGCGCACATGAAGAACCACTGCATGCACATGTGCATAATGCAGATGCAAGCCAGAGGTCAGTCTCAGGTGTCATTCCCCAATCTCTCTCCACGTACATACATAGTGCAGATGGAGGCCAGAGGTCAGTCTCAGGTGTCATTCCCCAATCTCTAGCCACGTACATTATTTTCAATGTTTAAGTTCTACTTGTTAGAAGATTTTAATTTTGTGTAGATGTGTGTGGTACATGTATGAGTGCTGATGGCATGAGAGGTCAGAGGTGTCAGATCTCCTGGAGCTAGAGTTACAAGTGGTTCTGAGCTACCCCACTTAGAACCAAAGTTAGGTCCTCTATGAAAGAGATAAGCACTCTTCTGAGCCATCTCTCTAGCCCTGCCTCCACTGTGAGATGAAGTGAATAGAGCCTCTGACTAGCTTGTGCTCACAGATTTGGCTACACTGGCTGATTCACAAGCCCCAGCAATCTGCCTGTCTCATCTCCCTAGCCCAGGGGACTTACAAGCACACTCTATTATGCCCAGATCTTTACATGGGTTCTGGGTATTGAACTCACCCCTCTTGCTTGCAAGGCAAGCCCTTTACTGACTGAGCTATCTCCCTAGCCTGGAATTTATTTTCTATAATAAAGATGCGTTGCTAGTACTTTTGATAAATTAAAAGAGAAAAGGATTGATTTTTTAATACTTTGTTTACTAGTAAATAGTAAGAATGTTGGGGGACAAAGGCCTTTTTGCCAATAGATCACTAGCGATACTGTGGACATAAAATACCTGTTTTCTGGCACAGAAAGCTGGGAGTGAATATTGTTAATGACCTAATGCCTTTTTGCTCTCTCTGGTAGCAGATCCCACCCACCTTTTGCTATAAATGAAATCATCACCCAAATGTCCCAGAATGTTTTATTTTGGTTTGGTTTGGTTTGGATTTTTGAGTCAGGGTTTCTCTGTAGCTTGGGAGCCTGTTCTGGAACTCGCTCTGTAAACCAGATTGGTCTCAAACTCACAGAGCTGCACCTGTCTCTGCCTCCTAAGTGGTGCTGGGATTAAAGGTGTGTGACACCACCACCTGGCACCCCCCCCCCAAATGTTTACCCCAGACTCTCCCTCTCTAGCTCCCACTCAACAGAACCCACCCTTTGGGTGGGTATCAAAAGTAGTATACAGCCTGCTGACCTCCATGCCATCTCAGTCAGACACTACACTAGATCATCTTTATATACATGGTAGCAGACTATGCACACATGCAACTAAAGTGTGCACAGATTCTAGAAGAGGAGTCAAATACCCTGGAGCTGGTGGGGTGTGAGACGCCTGATGTGAGAGCTGGGAACCAAACTTGGATCCTCTGCAAAAATAATGCATACTCTTAACTGCTCAACCATCTCTCCAACCCCAATAAAGTACTGTAAAATCCATATATCATCATAAATACTTAATATCTCATTCACTACAATGATTAAAAAGCAAGATTTGTCCTTTTGAAACTAGGTTACTTCTCTGGAAGTTAAGGGTCTTTCTGGGGAAATGGTTCCGTTGATGAAGTGCTTGCTGCCCGAGCATGAGGATCTGGATTTAGATCCCCAGTACCCGCATAGAAGCTAGGGGTAGAAGCATGTGCCTATAATCCCAGCTCCAGGGAGGCAGAGACAAAAGAATCCCTGTGATTTACTAGCTAGACAGTCTTGCAGAATTGGTGAGCTCCAGGCTCGTAAAAGACCCTGTCTCAAAAATAAATAAAACAAGTGAAGAGGAATAGAGGAAGACACCCAACATTGACCTCTGACCTCCCACACGTACACACATACGCAAGCATCCCTATACTCATGAATACACACACACCTGAGTACAGATTGGTAATTAGTTAAAATCTTTTATGTACTAATATATAAAGGTTCCACAATTAAATCACTAAACTTTCTGCTGAACTTCACTGTATAATCATAAAAACATGTAAAACTAGAACTAATCACTAAGAAAACACTTAGAATTTTGAGGGATATGGTTTCCTCACAATACAAGCTGATTTGTGTATTAGTAAGAGCATTAAACTACAGCATAGCTTATGGAAAACATGCTAAAAACTTTATACTGTAGTGGTTATGTTGATAACAACAGTATTAACCTATTATTACCAGAACTGAAATTCATTTATTTTATATTGTAATACAAGCTTGACATATTCGATTAACAAGTTTACTTTGGATTTTGAGGTACTAGGGATTACACCCAAAGCATCATATATACCAATATAATAGATGTAAGTGCCCTACCACTGAGCTATAGCTTCCTTTAAATGTTCATTTTTCACTTCAAATAATAAAAAACAATAGTGTTGTGCTCCAGGGCTCCATGAATTGTTTTTTTTTAAAAAAAAAAAAAAAGTTAGTGGCAAGAGTTTGTGAGAAAAAAGCCCAGAGAAGGTAGAGTACTTGGTTTAAGATATCTAAAAATGACCTCCTAAGACAACTTTGGGTCCTTGGCCTTTTCTTCTTAACATACATGAGGATGGAAGATACACGCACACATACAAACACCTACACAAGCCACAGTGCACACGTGCATGTGGGTCCCAGTGATTGAACTCAGCTTGTCACAGCAAAGGTAGTAGCAGATGCACTAGCTCACTGGCCCTGATCCTTGACTCTTTGCAACATCGCAGAAATAAAAAGCTAGAAACGCAGCAGTAAACCTCAGGAGATTAAGATTCAGTCTCGTTGAATGTTGAGGACAACCTAGTTGTTTCTATAATAAATACATCTTAAGCCAAGCAAATCCTTTATATGAGAGGAAAGCAATCATTTGAAAAACCCAAAGAGAAAAAAATTACCTAAGATGATTAAGTTTCATAGGCTACAGTAAAAATCTAGACTTTATAAGAAAGTAAAATACTGTGCCTTTTCCAATTAAGATAAATTAAATACAAGTTTCTTCAAAGACAAATATTTCCTTTATATCTTGTAAAGAGTCAAATATTGACCAATGAGAGGTAGAAAGTAAACTAAAATACTCAACTTTTAAGTGTTTTTTGTAATTAATTTGTGAGATCGTTAATAGACTAGTTAGCAGTATTGACTACCAAATCCTAGGCACTTTGTTCATTATGAAACACAACTTTAAAAAAAAACAGAAAACAAAACAAACAATTTTAAAGAGAAACACTGTCGGATTTAACACAATCCACACACAGACCAAAATTCAGCCATCAAGATAATTACGTCCTTGAACAACTGATGTTTTTATTCCTTCTGTTCCATTAGGTTGGTTTCTACCCCAGGATTCTGCCCCAGTTCTAAAATAAGAGAACAAAAAATTATCCAAATAAGACAAAAGGAAAAATAAGACTTGAGATGAGGGCTGTGTTAACTTTTAAATCTGTGTTTCCATTCGCACACAACGATGCATCCAATGTTTAATTTTCTCTTCAAAGAAAATCTCGATTTAGAAGAACAAAAAGTACAGAGAGATTTAACATCTAAAAGAGCATGCTGTGTAGCTTTTAAGCAAGTTACACAATTGAAACAGAAAAAAATATTTAAACAAATCTTTATTCTAAGTTACATAATTCCATCATCATAATAATGATCTTATACTTTAGCAAATGTTTTAAAAATAAGTATTTCTGGCAGGTAGAAATTTTTCCTTTGCTGTCATAAGACATGAGAGTTTTTACGAGCTCACAATGAGAATGTTAATCAAGGAAATGTCACTTCTATCAACCAAATGATATAGAGGGGGATGCCATATCACTTCTCAACAAGGAAAAGGGATGGGTTTCACTTACAGTGCCCCAGTTCTCTCTACATGAGCACATACACATATATGTACATGTGTGTATGCCTACATTCAACAAATGTTTGATCCTGAGAGCTCTTGACTGATTCCCTATTGTCACTGTGACTCTCAAATTGTATTGACTTTTATATTTTATTAATTCATCAAGCATGTACTGACTACCTTCTGAATAATTATTGTTCATAGGAAAAAAGGTACACAAGAAAAATTAGACTCTACCCTTCAGAATCTTGGGATCCCTTTCACCGGTGAGATAAAACACGACATATTATCATCAGGTAATTTATGAAGCTAGATCTACAAAACCAATGATTCGTTGCACATATATGCAGAATTTTGGAGTCCTTTTGAAGCATTTCTGCATATTGAATCCTGGGGACATTCTTGTGAAGTGTACATTAGCCCCATTTTAAACAATAAGAAATCCAAGGGTTCCAAATTTTAAGCAACGTGCCTCAATCACGCAGATTGTGAGGCAGAAAGTCGAGACTTCAGCCACTGTCTTCTAATCCCAAACCCACTGCTCCTTTCAATACAGCACAGCAAATGAGGGATGGGTAGAACTCAACAGGACCGTATAATAATGATTTTATACTTCAGCCAATGACTTTAAAATAAGTATTCTTTCATAAGTATATGAAACCAGGTAGACCTGCTTCCAAGCAGGGCACAGACAAACGCCCGAGTTAATTTTATTCTGTAAATACTTGTACTACAGTAGAATACACAAAGCACAGCTATTATTCCTTAATCTTAGTGCCTCTGCCTCCTCAGTAAAAGCTCTGATCTCTCAAACGGGGATACAGAATAAAATAAATTGACGGGCTCCCAAGAATCTTAAACCACAAATATCAACCTTGAAAGTCCAGTTCCTATTAATCCTTGTGCATGTTGTTTTCCCTCAGCACTGAAGAGCCTAACTCGCCCACCCTCTTCTGGCCTTCTTGCTCCAAATAACTACTTATTTTAAGATGTGATGACTGATTCTACAAAATGCTACAAGTTTGCCCCAATTTCGCCACCCGTCCCCAGCTCCGGCCCAAGCATCTTTCCCTCCCTCCGGATGGAGAGAATACCTAGTTCAGATTCTGCAGGTCCGGCCGCGATGCTGTCCCACAGCACTGACAGGTGAGAAGTGACCTCTCGACTCTGTCCTTGGAGACCTCCCGCCGACAGCACAGCGGGATCCCAAACCCGAGAAGGGCTCTCAACTCGGGAACGCAGTCTCTGGCGACGCTCGGTCCAAAGAGAGGGCTCCGGTCACTAGTTCTGAGCTGGGCGCCCAGCCTGGCATCACTTCGCCTCATACTCCTGCTGACTGCAGGGGGACTAGATCCTGCAGCCAGTCCATCCCACCGCACGCCCGAGTCCAGTCACCCAGACCTCACACCGGACCCCAACAACGAACCTCTGGCACCGACAGCGGCGACGGCGGCAGCAGGCCAGGCCACGCGCCCCAGGTGCCCATCGCCTCCAACCCTAGACCCCCCCTCCCCCGCAAGGCTGGACCGCAGAAAAGCGTTTCTATGGGAACCTCTCGGGTATCACGTGAGGCTCCCCGACGGCCAATCGCGTCTCCGTGCCGCCTCATCCAGCTTTCTAGCCGCCCACCGCCCCCGCCTCCTTCGCCGGCCCCGCCCCTTTCCTGCAGCGGGTCCGCGCGTGCGCGGTGCGTCCGGCGCGCTCCCGGGCGGACGCGCACTCCCCGGGGAACACGGGGGCGGGGCGGGGGCTAAAGTGGCGCTGGCGGCTGAGAAGGAAGCGGCGCCCGGCTAGCGCGCAGGCCCAGAAGCGAGCGAGCGGCGGCTGCCGGCTACGCCCCAGAGCGGAAGAGGGAAGTGAGTAGCGCCGGGCTGGGCTCGCGAAAGGCGAAGAGGCACCGCGAAGGGGAGGCCAGCGTCTCGTCGCGATCCGGGATGTCGAAGAACACGGTGTCGTCGGCCCGCTTCCGGAAGGTGGACGTGGACGAATATGATGAGAACAAGTTCGTGGACGAGGAGGACGGCGGCGATGGCCAAGCCGGGCCCGACGAGGGCGAGGTGGACTCATGCCTGCGACAATATCCTTGCTCTCGCGGCGCTCAGGGGCCGTGGGGACGCGTGCCACGCGGCGGGCTGCGCCTGGCTCTGGATGGGGATGGAGGGCAGGAGCTCCCGGGGCCAGCAGGCCGCCTGCACCCCGCGGCCGCGCTCGCGAATTTGCGGGCGCCCTGATTCCTCAGGTGCGCCGCCCCAGCGGCCGCGCCCTCGCCGGGGACCGGCCGGCGCCCTAGTGGGCACCTGAGCTCCAGAAATTCCTGCCTGGTGGGGACACGGGCGTCCCGCTTTTCTGTCGTTGGTGTGGTTTTGCTGAGCGGTGAGATGGTTAATTCCTAGCCGGGAGGGATGGAGGCCCTCCGTGCATTCAGCTCATGGGCCTCAGCAGCAGCAGCACTGTTAGAGAAGAGGATTGGGGGAGGTTGTACATAATTCATTAATAGGGCGAAGGGGGTTTCCGTCTTCAGAATTCCCAGTTAAAGCTTGGAGCCTTCTACCTGCTAAGAAAAAGCCAGTAGAGAAAGGATAGGGATGCGTGTGGAGAATCCCTGGAAATATTGAGGATGAACCCCAATGACTAAAACAGAGGATGAGTCAGTTCTAGAAATCAAAATCGTTTTTCTGAAATTGTTTCCACTCTAGTTAAAATATGGCTGTCAGTTCCTGATTCTTTGGTTTGCATATCTGAATATTCATGAGCCTGAAATTCATTTGCATCGATCTCTTAGAAAAATAGAAATGTTGCAAAGACCCAAATTGTAGCCTTAGAAAAATTGCATCCATTAAGTCCGTTCATACCGCTTTCCTCATCAGTTTTCTACTAGACATAATGAAGAACTAAATAAGTGAACAAGTATTTAGTGATAACTGCAGCATTGAGCATACGTACGCCGTATACGTTTAACTTTCCTTGCCACAACTTTCACATCAGTTGCTCCTAATTTGATTATTTAAATACTTGGGCAAAAATGGGGGGCGGGGGAAAAAAATGTTCTTTAGGAAACCATGCATCCTTCACAGTAGTTTATCACCGACTGTCGATAATTTTCTATAGACATGGTGAGCGTTATTCTTTGTTTAAAAAAAACCTTTATGGTGGATAGATGATATTTTATTAAACTAGTGATGTGTTTTAGGTAATTTCTGGTGACTCCAACTTCCGTGTCCATTATCAGTTGAATCTACCTTTCCATCAATCCTTCTTAAAATATGAAGATACTGTTTCTCATTATAACTAGGAGAGACAGCCCTGGTTGGGGAGTACAGACGGAGGAACAAGTGATTCTGTGGTTTTCCTTTTAGGGAAATAACTGTCTGTTCTGACAGTCTGATTGGCCTTCCGTTTCCCATGCTTGCTAACTCATTAGTGCTTTGAGACTGAATTAGGTATGGATGGTCCAGCCCGGTTCACATAACCTGTAGGGAGAAAAGTAAGCTGCCACCTACAGGTCGTGTGGTTCATTACAGCTTCCCTAGCCCTGCTCATCAATATTAAGCTATTGCCTGTTCCGCTCTGATTGCCAGGGTCATCAGCCAGCATTTCAGTTGATATCCAGTGTGCTTTTAGTATAAAGTTTAGGGTTCCTTTCTGGTAAGACTCACACACAAACAAGATGGTGTGCTTCGTTGGTGGGCTGCTCCAATGGGTGACCTGTCATTCTGATGGCATGTCTTAAGGTTCCAGACAGTTGTGGGTATTTCACTACGAAGTGTACTCTGTTTGCTAGGACCAAGGTTAGAATAATTTTTTTTCTTTTAAAAAAAAATTCCTATAGTCTCTTAATTGATTTTAGCTTCTGATTGACATAGTAGAAATAAACAAATGTAATCTACAATAGTAAACATAAGGGCCACAGTAATTTTTGTTACTATTCAGAAAGTCAAGTCTTAAGAACCCGTCCCCTTTGCTGTTACCCCCTTAACTGTCATTACAGGAAACATGACAGCCGCGCTGCAGGCAGCTCTGAAAAACCCCCCTATCAACACGAAGAGTCAGGCCGTGAAGGTGAGTTGTAGCCACAGCCTCAGTCTCTGCGCTGCCCCACTGTTCTCGAAATCCTTGACACGAGACTTTACAACTGACCTTTTCGTTTTGGTTTTGTTGGGGGTTTTTTGTTTTTGAGATTGGGTCTAGGTATATAACCTGGCTGGCCTGGAACTCAGAGATGTCCTGCCTCCACTAGGATTAAAGGCATATGCCATCACAGCCAGTTTCCAAAGAGGAAACTCTTGATAAGTAAAAACACCCTATGAAAAATAGCACTGAAATATAGAGTTAAACTAATGCTGTGTGGAACAGAGTCCACTTAAAGGAGGGAGACATCGGTTCTGTTCATTATGTTAGTACTAAATATAGAAGACAAAGGCGTGAGAGCATAAAAAGATGATCACCATGCTGTCAAGTGGGTCAGTTATCACCTGCTATACTTAAGAGCTTCTACAAGAGTTTGTATTCTTTATAAAAAAAAAAAGAGAGAGAGAGAGAGAAAATCATACAGTTAACTGTATAGCAATATGTACAAATTTCTTTCCTTAGCAATAAGATTATTTCTAAAGCATTTTAACTGCAATATACTGTTGTGCGACATTTTATATACCCTCAATTCCTTTTATTGTATATTAGATTGTCTAGTTTGTCCTGCTAAAATGAATAATAAGATAAATCTGTTCTGTCAGTAAAATTCCCAAAGACAAACGCTAGGTCAAAACCACAGTTTTAAGACTTTTGCTACACAAAGGTTGCCCAGTCCCTTAAAAGAACTTTGCGGCTTGCACCCTGCATCTGTCCTCTGCTGATTCCTAAAGAACTACTTCGTTGTTTATTGTTTGAAGTGCAGGCTTACCAAAGCCCTGTGGTCCATAGGCCTACATCCCAGGACCTCAAGAATTTTAATGGAATAGTAGTATAGATAAACATAGGAATTATCAAGGCAACAAAGCTTTGTATGGGGGAAATTTTTCTTTGCTTTTTAAAAGTTGTTAGAAACATCATTAAAATTTTCGTTATATCCCTTAATGTGTTTTTGTTGTTGCTTTGTTTTGTTTTTTTTTTTAATGACAGCTTGTGGGTGTGAAGTTATAGCTCTAGACCTCAATAGGGAAATTGCAATCTTTAAACGAAGATAACATTGGTGGTAGAAATTTTCTGTAAAGTCCTGCCCATTGGAATGCTGGAGATCCCACTGTGTGCTGAACAGAAGGAGAAATGAATTGTTGAAAGGGATTGATTGTGTGTTCCCTCTGCTTAGGCGATGCTTCTGGAACAGGCTTTTCCAGAGGGAAAGTTTAGAGATGAACACAGAAGGACCCAATGTCTGTAGCTAGGAAATTTCAAAAGAGTTTTTTAATGGTTTCAAACAGGAGCTTTTAAGAAAATGCCACTTTTGTATTCTGTAGACAGAATTGTATAAATCAGTTTACTTCTTTGTTTAAGAGTTTTTTAGACCAAGAAGTAAAATTTAAATGTTATAATAAATTGTTAAATTTTCCCATCAGTCTGTTAGTAAATTCCATTTCTACCTTTAGATCTATTAAGACTGTGTTCCAGAGCCTGTTAATCCCAGCACTGCGGAGACAGAGGCAGACAAATCTCTGAGTTCAAGGCCAGCCTGGTCTATATAATGAGTTCCAGGACAGTCAAAGCTATACAGTAAGACCTGTCTCAAAAACAACAAGTAGAATGGGTTCCCTTATTACCACCTCTACTATCATAGCACCCAGAACCTGTGTCCTTGGAATTGTCCCAATGGCTTCTGTTTCACTCCTGCTGCTGCCGTCATTGCTGTTCTCAGGAGAGATGTCGAAATAGTCTTCAAATGAGAATCAGATTGTGTCTCTGCTCTTAAAACTCACTGTCTTATTTCCTAGTGAAAGCCAGTGCCACTGCAGTGTGGCCTGCAGGCTCTCACGTGATCTGTCCTCTCACAGAGCGTTCCTTCCCTTCCTCCGCTGCTTCTCCCACCTCAGCTCTGTCACCTCAGGTTGTGTGAACATTCTGAGCACTCTGAAACCCACGCTGCAGCACCTGTTCTTTCGTGTGTCTAAACACTGGCCATATTTCCAAGGAGTTTTCTTTCACATCTGCCATATTGTCCTTCAGTCCTTCAGATTTCACTCCAACGTGGTATTTCTAAAATTTTGTTCCTAGCATACATGTCTGAATATTTTGTTATGTATTTACCCTTAGGACCGGGCAGGCAGCATTGTCTTGAAAGTGCTCATCTCTTTTAAAGCTAATGATATTGAAAAGGCCGTTCAGTCTCTGGACAAGAATGGTGTGGACCTGCTAATGAAATATATTTATAAAGGCTTTGAGAGCCCATCTGACAATAGCAGTGCTATGTTGCTACAGTGGCATGAAAAGGTAAGTGACAAACCGCAGGTCCTTATAACTCGTTCCTTTTAGAGTACCACCTAAAAAACAAATTAAATGCATGAAAATGAAAAGTTCACGTTTGCTTTCCAGCCTTGGTCTTAAG